AAGTAGAAATTTTTTAAAATTAATTAAAAATCTCAAAAGCCTCAAAAAAGCTATCAGAATGATATCTTAACATTTATTTATTTTTTAACTCTTCGTTTGTTAAATTTTCTAAGAATCTTTGATACAAGTGATAACATTATGGTAAAATATTATGATTTTTACAAAACATAATTCAATTGTATTTTTTAAAGCCGTATTTGCAATTAAACTGTTAAATATATAAAACTCATAAAATTTAATACATAATAAAATATAGTAAAATTGTAAATTTATTACAAAAGGTGTTATTGCTATGACACACTATAGCCATTACATTTGAAAAAAGCACATCATCTATATATCTGAGCATTTTTTTATTTTTTAACACTCTTTTTTATAATTTTGTAAAAGTCTTATTATTTTATTAAGAACGAGTAGCATAAATGTAGGGTTTATTTCTCAAAGCACGGAACGGTACTTTTGTGCATTTTCCCTTGCTTTCATTTAGTTATATATATCTTATACAAGGTGTCTATTGCAAATTTAAATTTATAATAAAAAGGGTAGTTGTGGTATTAATTCCACATAAAATGTTTTATATTTTCTGAATTTTCTTGAATAGATTTTAGTATAAAAATTTTATGAAAAGAAGGGCATCGCTGTCATGAATAACCTACATAATCATTAACAGCAAGAGAATCATAAGATTAACAGGGGATCTCACAAGAGCACAATTCCCCCATGAAGTTAATAAACCATTTAAGTTACATCAATTTAGTTTGGTTCCAGGAGCGAGCATTGTGGAGAACTTTCTTAGTTCTGGTCGCCTTCCTGCGTTTCTCGCCACAGCAATTTGTAATTAAAAATAATATAATAAGTACATACATAAAGGCACATCATATCCATTAAAAAGAAAGAACACGCATTATATTTATGATCCCGTTTTAAACGGGATAGCGTAAGCTAGTAATAATATAAAAATATTGTGCTAAAAATTTATAATTTACAGCATAAATTAATTTATTAAACATTTAGCTAAATAACAAGTTAATTTATTGCAAAATTTATAAAATATTATAGTTTATCACGATAACAATAAAAATTATACATACAGTAACGGAATTAAAAAATAATTTTTTTTTTCTAAGTTTACCTATTTGTCGTTATTCATTAATGACTAAGATTTAATGTTTATGTATTTAATACATTTTCACATGTATTGTAATATTTTGTTTTCAGTATCTTATTAAATAGCTAAGTGGTTTTAAAAATTAATCTTAGATGGAAATAAAAAACAAAATTTTTTATTAATTACTTGTATGACCTCATCTCGTTCCAATTACTGCTTCATATCTTTTTTTTAGTCCCAAAATTTCTTTTGGCACAGCTAGCTCATTGGATATCTTATTCTAATGTTTTTATTTTACAACGTTAATTCTTGAGTATTTTTACATTGTCTACTATTAACATTTTTCTTTAGAACATACCATAAATTCTCAATTAAATTTAAATCAGGTGGTTGAGATGGTTATTCAATTACTTTTTTTAATTTAAAAAACTCCTTTGCAACCTTTAATGTATGCTTTTGATTATTATCCTGTTGAAATAAAATTTTTTTTGAACAAACTATCATTGTAAATTTTAGTATATTTTAAACCATTTGTTTTCTATTAATAATGTGAGTATTTTCCACTACTGTCCTCCAAAACATTCTAAAAATATAATTAAACCACCACCACGCTTAATGGTAGGATGTAAATTTTTTATATCATATCACAAACCATCTATTCGATACAAATACACAATTCCATCTGGTTCAATCAGTTGATATTTAAGATTCCTCACTTTATATAATATTTTAAAATAGTTTTCCTCTTTGTAATACCATTAAGTTGCTAGTCTTAATTTATATTGAATATTTTTAAGAACAAAAGTGGTTTACATAATCTTTTTTTTGCCTTAATAACCCAAATTATGAATCAACTTTTACAAATAGTGCTAGCAGTTACAATTTTTTCTGGTTTATAAACTTTTCCACTAGTTTACTTAAACCTTAAATGGGCTAAAGTCGTTATTCTAGCCATATGTAAAATCTCTTTTAACTAAAAAAATAAAAAAAAAGAAAAATAATTCTAATTGTATATTTTTATGTCTTTAGTTTTTTATCAAAATAACTATATTTTAAGCTATAAGCTGCCTATTTTCTTAAACTAAAAAGATTTTAGTTCATAATACACTAATGACCATAAAAAGCGCAATCTTTCTAAAATTATGTAATATTTTTATTAAGATAATATTGACTTATATACTAAATAGTTTGCATAAATTAAAAAACATTTTTTATAAAATAACAAAGAAAAGTTCTCAAGGATATAGTAATTTAAAATTAATTAAAATTGCTGGTCGAAAGTGTAATTTTTAATTCTGATAAAAAATCCTTTGCTGGATTATTTAAAAAAAGTATAAAAAGATTTTAAATTTAATTCATGGCTAAAAAGCTTTCTCTGGATAAAAAAGTCGAGATTAAAGTATGTTTAAAAAAGGGGTAAAAGAATTTGAAGTATACCCTTCAACCATCACCCGATTGAAAGTAAAACTTTAGAAAACTGGAATTTTTAAGAGGAAGACTGGATCAGGCAGGCCTAATTTTCTTTAAAAAAATGATTTAAAATTTCTGAAAACCCAACACCTCGTAGCACAAAACTGACTGAAGATATAAAAATATAACGTGGAAAAACAATATCTATGACGACCATAAGAAGAAAATTATGTGAAATGGGGCTTTTTGGTTGGGTTTCTTGAAAAAAACCCCAATTGTCAAAAAAAATATTAAGGCAAGTTTGTGGTGGGCTGAAAAATATGCTTTGTGGGTCGGATGAGAATCGTTTAGTGTAATTTAGATTGATGAATTGAGAATAAATCTTTTTGATTCTGATGGTAAAAGATGTATCTAAAGAAAAAAAAGTACAAGATATGATAAAAAGGATCGTCTCTTAACTGTTAAGCATGGAGGTGATAATATCTTTGTATGAGTCTGTTTTTCAGAAAAAGGTGTCGAAAATATACATAAAATTGAGGGAATACTGAATTCAAGAGAGTATGCAAGAATTTAGACTTGAATTTGTCACCTTTAACTAAAAAATTTGAATTAAAAAATTTTATTTTTTAACAGGATAACGCCTCCAAAAATACAAGCAAATACATTGGCGAATACTTAATAGATAGAAAACTTAGTACTAAGATTGGGTAAGTAAATCGCCTAGTTAGAATTATATCGAGAATTTATGGTTAATTATTAAGATAAATGTGCCTAAAAGGAGACCGAAAAATCAATTGCAACTAGATCAATTTACTATTAAAGAATGGAATTAAATTGAAAAAGAAAGATTAATTAAAAGCATGAACAGGCGATATAGGGCCATAATTGGTGTAAATGGTAATTATACTAAGTATTAAAATATTTATTGTATTTTTCTTGTTCACATTTTTAAAAAAATGTTGTTTAGGACAAAATATAATGCAAATTTTAAATTTAACCTGATATATAGATTATAGAATGCTGATTAAATATGTGATATTAATTCCATGTGATCTAAAAACGTTTTATTTAGTTAAATTAAAATTGTGTTTTAATGGCCGCTACTGTACCTAAAAATAAATCCTTAAAAAAACATTAAATTTAGCGTTGTTAACACCAAGGCGATTTTTTCTTCATATTTTATTTGAGATCATAAGTTTTCAATACTTTTGTAATAAAACTAAGTGGTTTTTAAATCTTTTGCTTTGGTTAACTACCTGATGCAAGCATAAAAAAATATTAATTGCAACGCGATAAGGCGGATGTCCAGCTGTCAAAATTAAAGTTCCTACAAGAACACGTTTTAATATTAATTTATCAAAAGTTTGGACTTTTCCGCCTGTCATTATTTTAATTATTATTCTACTTATACCTTGTTCAATAACTCCCATTAGTCAAATCAACCCTGCTTTTTCGTCATATAAGTTTTATTGGCATCTTAAAGTTTGCCTTTATAAATCGCATTTTCGTCGATCCGAACCCTATATTCTCCACAGAGCATAATGTTTTCGTATTTTTATTTCAATATATTTTATATAATACATTTAAGCTTGCCGCAGATTGAACTATATCACAATCTGTACAATTCTTCTTAACAAATCACGTGCTAAGTACTCATATATTGCTAAAATCTTTTTAT